TGCTCAGAAGAACATCTTCTCATAGTGTTATTCTCTCTGTGGTATAGGCCATGCTCAAGTACTATGGATACAATGTAGGCCTTATATATTTACTGTATATAGTCTAGTATTTAATTAAATAGCTTTTTATGGTAGGACACTAAAGAGAAGTTATTTTGCTTTTAAATTATAGCCAGTATCTTTGAAATAACAAATCTGTAATCACAAAATTGTGCTGTCATTTTATGTGTGAGACACTTGTTTGGCAGCTAAACTCAGCTCACCTACTGCAGTTCCAACTAACTCACCTCTTTACAGTTATATTGTGTTAAAATAAAGCTAATTTGAGTAACAGAACCTCAGACAGAGCAGTGCATACAGCTAGCCTCACACCCTCAGGGAATGGTGATGACATCAGCTGCAAAGAATCAATACAACTGACAAAATACTCAACTTTCCATAAAAGGTATTGTAGTTTCCATGTAGCTATTGTAGTTTTAGTAAGGATGTAACAGTAACTGAAATATTGCAATATCGCATCGTCAAAATATGATATCGCAATAAATATTGTATCATGAAGTTCATACCGTGACAATATTGTATCGTGAGATGGTGTACCCATATGTAGCCATACATAATTTTTGATATATTTATTTCCTTTGGGTTTATGATGATGTCTTTATATGGAACAGTATGTCACATGACCGAAATGAGCTCACCCAGCCTCCTTGGTTACATATGCTTACTAAACCTGACCGTTATGGCGGCTATCTAATTTCAGCTCTTCTGGAGGGCTTGGACACATTATCTTAATTAACTTTTGATTTGAATGCCTCTTCATTATCGGGACCCCTGCTGGGCCTCGGAGAAACTGTGATTACAAGTGGAGCCACATTAGTACACCATCCTGAGGAGACCATGTTGTGAAATGTTGATGAATTATTCTGACTTCACACAGTTGTCTTGGAGAGCAAATCATTTGTTAATTTAAATATAAAACTGAAGGAAGAGCTAAGAAAGTGAACACAACACGGTTCTTTAAAGGGCCTATATTATGTTATTTTCATATCACAAACATTCCTGGAGTTGTGTTTTGTATCTTTCACACATTTTAACGCACAAACCCTGCATATTTAGGCTGTATTCTTCTCTCAAACAGAAAACACTCTGTTCCACCTTGTGATGCCATGATACAAGAAGTGCTCCACTGCGTTTTTAAACTTTATACACCTTCACTAGAATCATTTGTTTATTTCAGACCTACAATTACCAATCTCTGCTGGACTAAAAGTAAAAAGGTAGCCGTTAACCTGAAAACTATCTCAGGGAATCAAAAGATGGAGCAGAGTATTTTGGAGATGTAGACAGGCTAAAAATAAAAGATTACTCAAACAAGAGTAAGTGAAACAAAACACAACTCAAGGAATGTTTTTGAGGAGGTAACAATATTCTAATATCTTAAAGCTCAAGAGTCAATTTTGTGTAGTATAGTACCTCTCATGTCTTCTATCATGTGCTTTCTTTTTATTCTCTTATTTTACTGCACTCACTGGATCACCGCTGGAGTAAAATAATAAGAGATCAGGTGCTTTTGTGGGCAAATGACTTATTGGATGAAAAAAGGAGATCTGAGGCACTCGATATGCTTTGCTATGATTTTATTTCATGTCAAACGCCCAACACGTTTCGACTTATGTCTTCATCAGGGAACTAAAGATTTACTTACTTATTTTACTGTTGCAACACTGAAATTTTTCCATTGTGATAAAGGCTTTCTTCACTACCTGATGCAGTGTTTCCCTACCGTTTTGGGGCTGTGGTACTTTATTTTTAAATAAAATTGTGTGGCACATTTCTCACCAAATTATTACCAAATTACACCATTTTGAAAATAATGTGATGTGAATATTGTCAATGACTCTGTGTGCGATTCTGACTGTATTGCTTATTTTTTCTGTTTCAGACGTTTTCTCAGGACACTCCAAAATGTTAAATTGTTTCATCGAATGCCTGTGTGAATTCATTAACTGAAATTTGACATTTTTTCAAGGCACATCTAGCAATACCTCATGACACACAGGTATTCCCTGGCAGACTGGTGGAAAATCTTTGATGTAATTAGTAAATAATAATACCTGAACTCTGAAAATGATTGTGTATCCATTCTGTGTCCATGTGCAGAACACAGCAGGATAAATGCAGTACAAAAATGAAAGGCTGAGACTGTAAGGGTTATGGGTCTTTATTAGCCTCCAGGAGCAATGAATGAACAAAGACAAGAGCAAAACCAAACTAAACAGAACAAGACTCCAATTCCTCTCCTCTACAGCATCTGCCCATATAGTCACTGCCCATTGGAAAACTACTACTAACCTGCACTAACCAGGAAGGCAGGTCAGTGATGTGGTTTTGGTAAAATGGGTAAAGTAACACAGAAAATGAAAGCATCTCCACCATTGTAATCACACACTGGATCTGGATTAATTAGGAATAGAACTGGCTGGATAAGAAATGACAAAAAATATTTAAAACGATTAAATTGTAGGTCTGTATTCGGTCAAATTTGAGTTTTCTATTGTAAAATAAAGAGATAATTATATGTTTTATTGTGAAAAAGCAAATATGCCAGTTGTAGTTTCAAACAACATGCCCTGAACTGAGTCAAGATAACAATTATAGGCTACTGATTCATTTAAGGGAAATACAAGACAGAACTGTTCTAAGTATAATGTATGAATTCACAGCTCTACTATGAAAGTAAAGGAGATGGTTCACATTCTATTGCTCTGTATTCGTCTTTTATTTAGAATTTAAAGTTTGACTATTGGTAGTACAGACCTCACCACTGCTGGGTGAAATGTCCATTTTTGTTTTGATGTTTAAGATGGTTCAAAATCAACCCAGTCTCCAAATCTATTTGTTCCTATGTAATCTGATTTTAAATTACATTTTAAGGTCTGGTATTGTATATTATTCAAGCTTTTAAAACTGCATGTGTTTATAAAGAAGAAGGAAGCAGTTTATATCAAGTTATAATCAATCAACTATGAATCTATCTGGTATTCGCATGAGTTACTGGTGGCATTATTATTGATTATTATTAGCATTTATTTTGTTGCTTTTTGTTATTATATATTGTTATGTGGGAGCTACTGTGTTCAAACCAATTACCTTGTGGATCAGTAACTTAAGTTTGTCTAAGCCTAAGTGTCATAGAGGGGCCAGTGGCATAGATTGGCAGCCCCATCTCTGTGAGTCTCTCCCTGGGCAGCTGTGGCTACATTAGTAACTTAGCACCATACAATATGCAGTCAATGGTAAAATCACACAAATATAGACCACTCCGAGCAAATGTAAAATCCTCTTTAAGACAAATGCACTATTATTATTGTGGTATAAATGTTACATAGCAACAATATTTATGGAAAACTGGGTTGTTGAACACAGTTAGTTCTAAACTCTCATTCCTTTCCCTCTACAGTTGCACATTTGGTTTGAGTCCTTCTCATACTCCTCCTGTATTATTGTTGAGGAGGTCACTCGCTCCTATACCCTGTACAAAGACAAGCACTTCAAAACAATTAAATGTTTAGAAAAAGAACCAATAAGATCACTTTATCACATTGTGGTGGCAGATAGTATTGTGTCGTGTACCATATTTGTCCTGTAAAATGTACAAAATCTCATCATGTAGTTGGCTAGTGACTTCTTATTCACAAGCACTTTTGAAGCATGTTTATTTATTTACAACATACAGTGTACTCTGAATCACACTTATAAATAAATATTGCATTCTTAACAATCTTACAGTCCTCCTCTTATTGTCGGTTCTTCGCACTCGTCACCTGAGCTTATTGAAGGTGAGGCAACCCAACCTTTTCTCTAAGTCCCCACAGCTCTGTATGTGCTATCATTTGGTCCAGGCATTCTCTGTTTCCTCACCCTCACAGTTGTTTTATTTAAATAAATAGATTTCTAGGAGCAACAGAATATATTCTTAAAATCGTCTTAAAATTCCTAAAAATAAAAAGTTATCCTACTTTAAAATTAGGAGATAATAAAAAGAAACATTACTATGTAGAAAAAGGCAAACTAAAAGGGGACTATATAAAAGTTCGGCAAAGACAGACATGTTGTATGAAGTCATATCTATGAGTTAGGTATTGAACAGTTGTATCCTCTTCTGTTCAGGTCTTCACTTGAGTTGAGTTCAGAAGAATCTGCAAACCCAGGCAGATTCCATTTTGAAAAGTATCACTGCATACAATGTCTTTGTGATCGTCCAATCAAAACAAGGAGAGGGCTCAAGGGATGACAGGGTTGGTCAGAGGGACACAGCTGTCATTGGCTCGTGGTTTGTCTGAAAGCAGGAAGTAAGCCTTTAGATGGCCAATGTCCGTTTTCCTGTTTTCAATTGTGCAAGTTTAAATGCCTTGGTCGTGGATTCAAGGGAGTAACCAGCTGCATGACTTTCCATTGTAATGCCACTCTGTTCTGCATGATGTGGTGTTCACTGACTGTATTAGCAGCAGCTTTTATTTTCACTTTGTTCAACATTAGGTGAATGCTATGTCAAACAAAAGTGCATCCAGAGGAAAACAGCACAGATGGCAAAGTAAATGTGCACTCATTCTTACAAAACACTATTACTTGGCAGGTAAAGGGCACCATTGTATCAAGACTACATTTATCATAGTTAAATGGTCACTATGCCTGCCAATATTCCAAACAAGTCAGCACAAATCAAACACAAATTCAAGTTCTTATTACAATGTATTGTGGCTTCATAGTAGCCTAGTATAAACCCTGACTATACTGTATTTTCCAATGTATTATCACAAAGCAGAACTTAGCAATGGTTAATTTTGAGGTGAACACTGTAGATGAGCTTCTTGTGTTTCTCTCTGCCCTCTAACCCTGCTCACTGCTGCCACTCCACCCATGTCAAAGGCATTACAGGTGAATTGGATTCATTGTCCATCATCTCCCGTCCTCTCCACTGACCCAGTTTATTCAGACAGTCACAGATTGTCTTGTAGCCGCTCCATGTAGGTTCTGATTTCAGACTGACCCAGGTCCATGTCCTGGCACACCCACTTGATGTCGTCCTCGCTCCCATTGGACATGAGGCCTGTTGTGTTGGCGTACACTGCACTGCTGCCCGAGTTGTCATTGGGCAGAACTGTCGCAAAAGAAGTGAACTTGACACGTTTGCGTTTAGCAGCTGCGACCGCGGCGGCGGCAGCAGCTCGAGGGGAGTTATTGAGGTGCTCGGCTGAGTTTGCACTGTCTTTTCCACTGGCGCTGAGGGCTGAAAGGCACTGGTGCGGCTCTGGGCCTGACCGAGGTAAAGTCTGTCTATGACTCATGCCCCGATGTACACTGGAGCCACCAGCGAGGGTGCTCATCCCCCCTCCCACACCCATCATCAGGGTGTTCTCCGCTCCGTTCAGCAGATACTTGCTCTCCTCATAGGTGGCCTCCGTCCGGTCGATGATGGTGGTGCACTCATCTGGCAGCCCGGCCTGGCACTGATCGGAATGGTCCCCCAAAATGTCCGCCTCATTGCCCAGCCAAACCCAGTCATGGGCGTGGTTCATGTTGCCTCCAGCTTCCAGCACTGGGACCTGTTTGTGACGGTACCTAAAAGAGAACCAGCAATCAGTACACTACAAATCTTCCACCCCCCCAATATAACTACACATTACACACTGTCATTTCTACATTTCTTCATGTTGCATCCACAGTAATAGATTCATAATTTCATTTTGCTCATATCTGAATGTTTGGAATTATAAAGACTCTTTACCTGAATGCGAAGCTGACACAGTTGATGAGGAAGACCAGTATTGCCAGACAGAAGACCCCCAGCAGAGCGTACATGCCGATCTCCAGGTCAGACAGGCCTCTGGTGGTGTGGCTCAGCTCACTGCCCCCTGCTTTGGGCACCTCCACCTGGGCGGGATTACTGGAGTCCCCAGACTGACCAGAACCTCCTCCACGACTGCCTCCAGCTTTACCTCCAGAAGAGCGCTGCGTCACCGTGCTTTTGGTCGTTGTGCTGAACTGATGATGGCACATCAAAACAGGTTCATTAGAAAACAAGTAATTGGTCAGCCTAAGTATATAGATATCTTTCACAAGTTTCATTCTAACACCTTAAATGTGTTAAAAGCTAGAGACAAGCATAAAGATTTGATCAAATTTAACAAAGGTCAAAATCTGAAAGCTTGAAGAATAGGTCAAAGCCCCCTGCTGGCTGTTTCCAAAGAACATGAAAAGTGGTCCACAGCAGCAAGTCATGTACACAAGGAACAGAGGAGGAAAAAATTAAGCTGTATTATTAAAGTCAAGCTAATTCAAAAATAAAATTGCTACAAATCACAAAAGACTTTTCCTCTGGTCTGTAGGCAGGTGGTTATAAAGTCCTACCTTGTCAGTAATTCAATACTTTTATTCAAATAATAATAAAAATATCAAATTAATCACTTACTAATAAAACATACATGCTATTGATGCATTTCAGCTTTCTGATTATAGAAGGCATTTTAGTCATTTTAGAGTTTTAGCCATTCAAAAGACACAATATTTCGTTTTGAATAGTTAATTGCCATGACAATGAAGTTCATTTCTTGCCACTTTAAAACCCATATAAACAAAGTACGTGTGACAAAGTACACGAGGACACTGAACTTAGCGTAATATTTACCTTCCTCATAGCTCCCTCCTCCCTGTCTGCAGCCACACTGTTGGCCTTCCACTCTCCATCTCTGCTCCTCTGGTCACTGGTCGTATTGTCCACTGTGCTGTCCTCTGTTCCTCCTCTTCCTGCTCCTCCTCTGTCCTCAGGCTTCGCTCCGAACTTCACCAACACATTACCGATTCCAGACGCCAGCACGCTCTTCCTCTTGGATTTCTGACACGTTTCGGAGATAACCATCTCGACACGAACCAGTGCCCCCTGTCCATCACCCTCGGCCACCACTACAGGCCAGTGTTGCTCCTAAGAGATTGAACGTTATAAAAGCATTAGACTGGAAAGGTTTAAACACATTTTCAGGAACCTGTGATCAATACAAGCATTCATGGACCCATTTAGGTGCTTGATTTTCAACAAAAAGGATGAGTGTGACTAACTAGTGTGAAAAAAACTAAGCTTGTACTGTTATGTTTAACAGTACAAATCAGCTCTCCAATTGTAGCTCTAACTAAATCTCTTATGTTCTTATTATTGTCAGATTGTGTTAAAGACAAATTTGAGAAACAGTACTTCAGACAGAGCAATGCCTCCAGTTACATTTATACCAGCGGTTTCATATACTCATACCATGTTGTTGATGGAGATGATGCTCTCGTCCAAGGACACAGCAGAGAGGAGGAAGTCTTTGGGATCGTAGATATCGAGTGGAGTGACTGAACCATCGCTGTACTGGATCCAGGCGCTGATCACCGCCTCCTGCAGGGGACCACAGGCATGACAAGCAATCAGACCATGACCATGTTTATAGATCCCCTGGGAACGAGGAATCAGGAATGAAAGTCATTTTAAAACCACAATGTAGATTTGAGGACAACTGCAGGATAGGATCTACTGACTGTATTGGTGTGCCACTGTGCAAGACATCAAACATCAAACTGCATTTACAATGGACTAAACAACTGCTTTCAAAATCCCCACCCCAGTGCAAAGATTGAGTCTTTTCCTGACAGATTTCCCTTAGTAAAAGTATACTAACTTCACAGGCAAGCTTTAAACATGTTCTTAAAAATCTATCTTTGTTTTGGTCATCAATGAAAACTGATATGACTGAACTGTTATACTGCAGAAATGTTGAGTTAATTGGAGTTCTTGTTAACTTTAACTTTGCTTTAATGCCTTTTTTCCACTGAAACTCATTGTTAGAAAGAGGACTCCACAATTTTCTGAGTGACAATCATCCTAGAATAATATGATTAAATAAAGTAGTAATTATCCTAATCTTTATTAAGTACAACTGCCAGTTATAACGATAGCCAAGACGTAGCCTGGAAGTTACACAGTTAATTTGAAAATGATTACTGGAGATAGTAACAATATGATAAAACACAATTACTGTTCAACTCATGAGATTACAAGCTCCAGGGAATACTGTGCAAATGGAAAAGTCTTAGACAGATACGTGCAAAATCTGACTGTGAGAGTAGTCCATATACGTGTGTGACTACTGACACGAAGCTAACTGTAAGCACTGCTCTCTCTGAAGCTCTGTTATTCAAGTTAGACTTTAAGCTCAATTTGTGCTGTTTAAATTCATTTTGTATTTTTTCTTGAGTTTTCAGTCTATCTTAAAACTTTTTTGGTAGTTATCAGGGATGTAACAATAATAGTGATATCGCACTGTCAAAGGTTTCACAATAATATCCTGAACCATCCCAATATATCAAATTACAAGTCTCTTTGCTTAAATTAAGAGTTATGGTGCAGAAATAGCTCAAAAGACAGAGGGAACTACATAGACCATGATCTTTTGCTCTATTTCAGTGTAGACTACAGGAAGAAATATCAGTTTTAAGCACTTTTAAGTCTTAGTTTAGGTCTTGTCAAGGCATTTTAAGAGGAAAAAGTAGCATATTAATAGTTTTGTTAACCTCCACAAAATATCACAATAAATGGATATTGTCACATCTCCAGTTATGAGCCTCCCCACCATATCGTAAGCTTTCCCATGATATCGCAATAAATATCGTGCTGTGAGGTTCATACGTTGACAATATCGTATCGTGAGACTTGGATATCGTTACACCCCTAATAGTTATTGCTAATGTTTGCATTGTGTCACCATGGTAACTGATGAAAATTCCACTGTAGAAATACACAGAAATACATGGAAATAGCCCCCAGCATGATGACACTGCAAAGTACCAACTGATAAGATTAAAATGGTGAACAGATTCTAAGGGATATGTGTATGTTAGTAAGGAGATGTGTATTTTTGTATGTAATTGTGATGTAATCTTGTCTCACCTGTTTGGGAGCATGCAGCAGGTCTGTGGCACTGGCGGTGAGCTGGATGGCCCGGCTGTTTCCAGGGCTGATGCTGATACTCACAGATAGAGAAGACACCAACTGGACTCCCATGTCAGAGATGGTCACCTGGATAAAAAAACAACAACATACATTTCATAAATATATATGCTAGAAAAAGTAATACCTAGATAGGGTGAAATGACTTGAATTTTAAACATATTATCTTGATTTGAGATGATACTTATCAGGTGAAATTATAAAAAAAACACACAAAAAAAACATTCATCTTCATTTCTATTTATGTATTTTTTTTACTGGCCAAGTGAAATGAGATATAACTTAAAAAACAACTCAGTACGAAATAAACAACATAGCCATTTTGAACTAAACACACATTTAACAAAGAAAGGTCATTTTGTACATGAAATGAAGTTTTTATCTACAATGAAAAGGAATACAGTTGATTAAAAACACTGTCTTGTGTACCTCGATGTATTAAATATAGTTTAAACGAGGTCTTAGCAGATGTTTTGTAAAATAGAAAGTTGCAGAGTTAGAGTTGTATTGATTCAGGGTTTTGTATTTATGAAAAAAATGTGGAGGTGGAGAGAAGTTGATTACAGTAAATTAAAACACATTTTCTGCTGGGACACGGTGCAAAACAATACAATTATGAGCTAAGGTGCGCGGAGAGAAAATCTGATTTATTTGAAAATGGAAATGAACTGCATTAGGTTTCCATAAGCAATATTTTACACGCATTACTCTAAGTATTTGTGTGAGTTAATATGTTTTACCTTGTCGTCCAACACTGTGATGGTCTTCTCAGCCAAGATGGAGTCAGACAGTGGGGACAGCACCTATGGAAATGCATACAGATTAAAGTGAATTGTAAAGTGTTTTATTATGTGTTTAAAGATATAAACTATCCCACTAGCCAAATGCTGGTAAATTTCCATTTTGACAAGTAGTACTCTTATTTTTCCAGTTGAGTTTACATAGCCTACCACGCCATGTTTATGTACGTGGTATTATTTATCATGATCAAAGGAGAAAATAGGCAATAGTACAGAAAGATGACTGACTATGTGAAGCAAACTGAAGACGCAGTGGTCAGTGAGCAGAAAATCTGTAACCTATATTGAATGTACAGCATATTTATGTTCTATTTTGAAAAGCTCCAACATAAATAACGAGCATAATTTAACCATTACACAACAAAAAGGCTCAAAACAGTGTTGATATCATACTTCTTTTCGTGACCACAGCAACAACCATTTCAGCAGAATTTTGCAGTCATTCCAAAGAAAAAAAAAAAGCTGAGGAAAAATGTAAAACCACACATACTCTCACTCGCCTTGTTCAAGTCATTTAGCATAAACAAAGCAACAGGCCTCAGACAGAGCGGAACTGACGGAAAAGTGAAAAAAGAGTAAGTGAGGGATGTCGAACACACAGAATAAATAGAGGCGGTGTCAGAGGGACGACGCGCTGACAAATGGACCAGGACAGATCGCGCGCAGAGCCGATTGGGGAGAGAGAAACAGAGGCTGATACAGATTAGAGCCCTATGTTGTCTCTCGCTACACTCCGCCCGGTGACAGGGGGACAGGCGCGTTTGATTGGTACACAAAGAAAAGCTCTCAAACAACGTCAAAGTCAATCCCAACCTCGGCCAAGTAACAAAATGTGATGATTGACAGGTGCAGGATTGCTCTTCAAGATGGACGCCGAATAAGAGGCTGCTGCACAGAGACAGGGAAGGTGGGGGGCAGGAGGGGGCCAGGAGGAGGGGGGGGGGGAGGTAAAAATTGAAATGTCAAACTACAAAATGACGCCTGTCGACTCATCTTGGGAGAATTGCCGGGTGAAATTCTCCCCTCTGGATCTGACATAAAGCGCAGCTGTGAGAATGCGTGGGGGTGGTCATGCATAAGGCAGTCCCAAGTCCCACGAAGAAAAAAAGAAATAAATTTGCAGCTGCTCTACAAGCACCAATCTGACCTCTGAAAGTAAGGTCCAGTTTAAGTGCATTACAATGCTACAGTTTGATTAGAAATTAAATGAAAGGGCTCACATTATGCTATTTACTGATTTTTCTATAATGCTGTTTCTTCATCAAAAATAGACTTGGAGTAGTGTTTTGTTTTATTCACACATGTTTAACACACAAACATATATTTACGCTGAATTCTTCTCTTAAATGTCTCTCTTTTCGCTAACAAAAAACACTGTTCTACCTTATGATGCCATGTAGTAACACAGGAAATGCTCCACTGTGTTTTTAAACTCCATCCACCTTCACTATTATCAGCTTTTCTGAACTTCTACTCCTTGTCTTGAAATTAAAAACTACCACTACATGACATCACAAGGCGGAACAGAGCATTTTGAGCTATGGAGACAGAGTATTTATGAAGGATTATTCAAACATGTGTGAATGAAACAAAGCAACTCTAAGTATGTTTTTGATGAGATAACAAAATTCTAACATGGTTTAAAGATCACAACACTCAATTTTGCACATTATACAATCTTTAAACTATCTGAAATGGTGAATAATAATAATAATAAATGTCAAGATATATGGCATACAAAATGATATTTCTATTTTACCTGCTGTATAATAAATTCAGTCAAGGATATTCAAACATTGACAAACAAACAATAGCCCTGAAACAAAGCATTTTCTGTGCTATCAACCATCAACTCATATGAGCCCTGTAAAACAAACTTTCTCATCCACCCTTCATCAGTCTCCCATGCAGCTTTAATTACAAAAGGCCAGCTCATTAGAATGCAAGCACTGTTTGCCTTGTGTAAGTGCGTCAAGTCTGTAATTGCTGAACATAGCAGCACGATATCGGGGCCAAATCCGACAGTTAATTGTGGCTAACAAGCTACGTAATAGAAAGAAAAAAAATAAAGAAAGAAAATGAGCTAATAGTGTTTACATCACTCAGACACTTATAGCTGAATCAGGAGATGCCAAATTACACCTGACTAGGACCAAACCATAAAGCAGACTTATCCCCAAAAATATAGTCGAAAAACATCAGCTGCAATAAATAAATAGCATACAGTGAGATATTTATTCTACCTACAGCTCAAAATGTGGTCACAGTACAGAAAAACAACAAAAGATTTCCCACTAGTACAAAGAAAAGGTACACATAATTATTGTGACAGGCCTATATTTCACTCCCCAAAATAGTTCGCTCTCAACAGCCACAAGACAAAATGCAAAAAAAAAGTCAAAATAGTGAGAACTTGGTTTATAAAAAGTACTTTAAAAGGGTTGTACATGATTTTTTTCATGTAATAACATACAATCTGTTTTGCCCCAGTACGGTTATATTGTTAAAGCAGCTATAGGGTGAAGATTAGACCATTATGTGCTGTCTGCATCTAATTTTGGCCCCTCAAAGTTCTCCAACCTCCGCACCTAAACCTAAACGCACTGGGAGGAATAATAATTAGTATGCTAGCAATAGATTAGGAGAGTGAGGAATAATTTTGGCCTACTGCGCACTGTTTAAAATGAAGCAGCAAGTTAAAATCAAGTCCAGTGCCTTTAATGTTTCCTCCTTGCAGGCAGTTGATGTTTGTGGAGGTTGAGTTTATTTTTAGGCTCATGTTACATATAAATATCTGCTGTACCTGGATAGTGGTGATTCCCAAGTCTCGTCCCACAAGGATTCTTCCGTCAATCAATTTGGCAATGCGAGGATCCTCCACCTAGAAGGCACACAGCACAGTGTTCTTTATTTATCATTTCCTTTAAAAACATTTAACAGTAAAAAGATGTACGATGGTTCAAAATTTGAGATGCTTTGATCTCACAAATATATAAAAAATTCAAACTATATTCAATCTCAGTGGTATAGCAATTTGTTTTTTTGTTTTGACACCATAACACTGCTTTTCAGAAAATAAGATGTTATAATATATATTGTATGTTAATAAATGTTGTTACTGTTGAGTTACCTTCAACTGCTCCAGGACTAAGTGTGTGATGTCTGCTTGCCAGTCAGAGCCCAGCATGTACACCATCTCTCCACCAGGGTCCGACGGCTCTGCCACGAAATGGGTCAGCACCCTCACCAAGGCATACTGGTACTGGAGAAGAAGAAATGACATATTACTTAAGTAAAAGTACAGATACAAAGGTAAAAAGTTACTCAAGTAAAAGTAAAAGGATTTTACGCAAGTGAAAAACATTATACTTATTTTGGTGTATTTTCAGTTGCAGTACGAATCGATTTCTTAATTTTTATTATGAATTTTGTGTTTATTTTTGTTTACTCAAAACTTGAGCTTAAACTTAAATAAAAAAACTTTAGTCAGGATGTAACCACAAACATGATCAAAATAACCCCTGAAAACATATGAAAAGTACTTTTTTGTCTTCAGTACAGTTCAAAAGTGTAGTGGAGTAGAAAGTGCAAATACCTGCTTCCAAATGTAGTGAAGTAAAAGTAAAAAGTATCCACTGTAAAATGTACTTAAAAGTACAGATAACAAAAAAATGACTTAAGTACAGTACTATACTACTTGTAATTTGTCACTTTCCACCACTACAAATCAGACATAACCATCAGAATAAATGGACTTGAACAGGAGCAGAATGTCTCTAGATGTTTGTGATCTATAGTAGTGCAATACCTGGAGGGTGCAGCCTTTGCCCTTCTTCTCGTCGTCCTCGTCGTCTTCACTGTCTCGTGTGGGTCTGTGACAGAAACAGGAAGTGAGTGGAGCAGATGATCAGGTGAAGGCTCATGCCAGTCTGGTGTTCAGTTTTAGCTACAGGTTCCACTTCTTCAGTGAGAGACAGAGCTCTTCATTCAGAGTCTAATCCACTCATGAACACAGCACTTCTCTTACACCAGACCCCATACCACACATTACTGGCTTTCATTTTACACTGTTTTTGAGCAACTTCCAGACAAGAAAAAAAATCTGTGTTTTTCTCATCTTGAAATTGCTTTAGTTTTTTTCTTCACAAAAAGTATTGTGTAACACCTGTGTGCATGATGGGGACAGACTGCCACACTTTAGTTCTCAACAGAAAAAGTGCAGGGATTGGCCAATCTTTCTCTCTTAAATACATTTTCCTGCTTGTGTTTTTTTAGAACACACATCCACTTTAAGCAGAGATGTTGCAAATTCAAGGATGCATTTTGTATGTTTATTCAAAAAGTAAATCATGACACAAAAAACTTGACAACTTGGTTTTATCTTCCTGTTATTTAGTGCCATTTTGGAGATGGTTGACCATTCAAAAGATATATTTTGTTTTGAATGCTCCTCATTTTTCATCATTGTAAAACACATGAATTACAAAAAAAAAGTTGTATTTTTTTTTTATTAATGTTTAAGGGGCAACACACAATGTCACAATTGAACTATATAATGTGTATGTATAAACACACACACAATGCTCCATACAAGATGTCACAGTTACATTATCCTACAAAAAGCACCAGCATGAAACCACATAACATAGGAGTCAGACCACGGGGCTCTGTGCAGGTCGTATGGCTGGCTCAGGTCTGCTTTTAGATACACAGAGACACTGGTGGGCCTTTGTAGTGCCCTCCCTCTGTGTGGTATCTACACAGCCCCACACATCAACATCCTCTCACCCCTCCACTACCACCCTCCCCTCCTCCCCCCTCCCCCCTTCACACAGAGCCCCCACCTGCCCTGCCCCAGAATGCACCAGCAGCCCTTACAGCTGGAGTCCTATGTCCCATTCCCACCCAGAATTTGTATGTGTGCGGTGGATGAGGGAGGGAGATATAAAGGTGTGCCGGCTATCTGAGCAGAAATTGTTGAAATTGAAAAACAGGCCCAGCCGAACAGAAACGGGAAGGCAACCAGATAAGACACAACAAAATGGAGATGCTCACAATGCATAGAGAACATCTCCGTTTTCCATATACAAGCTATATATATATATAGCATGTTTACATTTTTGAGGGCGAGTTGTTAATGCCACATAGGCATATGAGGTTTTACCATTTGGACCCTTAAAATTATATTTATGTCATATTCTGCACAGGCAAAATGTTACAGAGGAGGAGTTGTAGTTGCAGCTTCTGCCATAAACTGAAAACAGTCAATATAAACACTAACACTGTCAGTATGCTTTGTGTGCACTATGGCAATGTTCAAATGTACAACTCTTAGTAAAACAGAGAATACTTAACCTTATGCACCATTTTGCACCTATGACATAGAATGAACTTTCCACAGAATAACAACAACAAGCTCAAAGAATAATGTCTATAATTATGTATGTGCATGAATGGTGTGTCGTCTTTATGGAATTCACTCTTGGGTAATGTGTATTCGTGCATGTGTGTGCTTGTGTGTGCTTGTGTGTGCTGTATAGTATGATGTTTTTTTGTGAGAACGATGCTTAAGCCATAATAGTTGTCAGGAGTATGGCCCGGTTAGCCTTGACCTTAGAGCAAATTGTAAAGCTCCTCTCATGATATGTGCTCTCAAGAGGCCTATTCAATAAGCACTTTATCTCACAAACACATACAGAACAGCAATATGCAGGAGCGGATGTTTGCATTGCTGCTCACTTAAGAAAGCAGGTGTGATTTTTTAAGTAGAATTTCTTAAAACATGCTGTGAATGCTTTTAATTCCATAGTCTTCACTGTATTCCTGACTAAACTTAATATTACCATGACCTCAACATCTCTTACTAACGTGCCTACACTACTATAGAACTATGATAAATTAGCATTCATTCAGTGAACATTATACAAAAGGGGTGATGAGAGGGTACTTGATTTATTAGTAGTCAGTGATTCAATTTCAATGCCCTATTGAGATTGTTTTGTATCCTTGAGCAAGGCACTTCAGACCTTGCCAGTCAAAATGAGTCAGGTCAGGTCTACACCATTATATATTATTATCATGTACTACCACTACAACTACTATGCTACTATTATGATGTATGATTACTGAACACTAGTACACTGCTCTTACCTCCTGTTAGTGACGATGGGCACTCTCCAGCCTTTGATCTGGCTCAGCTCGGTGTCAGACACGTCGATCTGCAAAGGCAGTTTGGGCACCCACACTGTGAGCTGCAGCTGTGCCCATAGGTGCAGGTAACTGAAGTTCACTGCCAGAGACTGTCGCCCGCGCATCTCCTTCCCATTCACCAGCACTTGGTCACAGGTTGGAACCACCTCGACATAGACAAGTACAAAACATTACTGAATCTGAATCAGAACAAAACACATGATAGTGACATTTAAAGGGTCAGTTTAGAATACAGGTTGCACTTCTGAAAGACACATTGGTATTCAACCTGTTGAGCTTTTGAAGAGACATTTTGGAAAGGAAGAAAAGAAGAGAAGGCTAATATTATACCACTCTAGTTGCTAATGCCTGCCAGGTGGCATTTTGGTCTGTGATTATGCAAGAACTCTCATCTCTGATAGACAACATAGAAAGATGAACACTCCTTTTTTAAACATTGACAAATGCTTCAAAATCTGTTATAGATTGTAGAGATTGTGGCCATGGATTAATTTGTTCTCCTGCATTTTCACTCATATTCATACACCAACACACGTGGACACTGGAAACAAGGTGGGTACAAGTGTCTTACCTAAGGACACAACAACAGTAGGCACTACAAAACCATTACCAGGTCACTAGTGCACCTTGTAGTCCCATTGGTCTCCCATACAGTAATTACCAGGCTCAACACTGCCTAGCTTCAGAGATCAGAGGAGATCAGAGATTCTTAAAGCGGTATTCATTCGCTTAGCTAATGGGACGCTAAAACATATTTCCCATTAGCAGATTTTATTGAAGTGGTAAAATAAGTCATGCTTTTGCTTGCGGATGTGGACAGCCCTTTAGCACAGGAGTGACAGGTGGAACAAAGCAGGAGCAGAGAGCAAGTCGGATCCGGTTTCACCCTCTTCACCTGAGACAGTGAGACGCATCAGGACGACGGCTGTTTGGAGCCACCGCTCGCTCAGCACACTGCGCTGTTACAACGCTATTTGTTCTGACAAAGTGACAAATTACAATTCATCTGGTGGAAGTTGATGAATGTTTTTATTAGTTACTAAACCTGTCTCAAACTTGTGGAGATGGATGGAAAAGTTCAGATAAAATAATCGCTGCTCCAACTTATCAAATAAGCAAGCTTGTAAGCACTCAAGATTATATGGGTTTAAGCAATTTTCTAACCTCATGTCAAGCACAAACACATTTTACAATTAATGGTTATATTTGACCACTTGTTTAAGCTTTTTGTTTTCTGATCATACATACAAACATTTTCTTCCACTTTATTTCTCTGGGGCCATGTTGTAGAGCCAACAGTCTATGCAGAAATGCCCAGACTTCCTTTCCACTAACACTTTTTCCAGCTCTTCTGGGAAGTGCCTGCAGGAAGTCATTTATGAGGCATCTGGAACAGATGCCTGAGCCTCCTCTCGATGTAGAGGAGCAGTGTCTCTACTTCGAGTTAATCCTGGGTAACTGGGCTCTTTACCCTATCCCTAAGGGTCACCCTGTGGAGGAAACTCATTATGACCACTTTTATCCATGATCTTGTCCTTTCGGTTATTACCCAAAGCTCATGACCATAGGTGAACTCTTTGTATAGGCCAACACACACACACACCATGTTACTATGGTTACTAAATCATATCATGACATGTCATTGCAGAACTGGGATTTTGAGGGATCATTTAGATGGAAAGAATATTTGTTACCATTGTGACACACACAAAAAAAGAAAAATCTTTCTTTGCTTCCATAATGACAACACCTCACTCAAAATTAGACATATAAGATGTACAAAATAGTTCCCTTTCCTCACACACACCTAAACCACCACATAGAATGCATGAGCACTTTTGACTTTCCTTTTTCTACCAACTGTCTTTGATCTGTTTCGAGGTTAACATTTTGTACATCAGAGGTAAAGCGTTTCTCCTCTCAAAGCTTTTAATTTGTTTCAATTCCACTTTCTTCTCCTCTTTGCTTCCGCTGCCAAAACATAAAAGGAGAGGTGCTTTCACTTTCCAATTTCTTCTTTGCCTATAACTTTTCTATCTTCCGGAACACTTGCTATTGCTCTGCACTGACCCCCCCCCTCCTTCTTTTGTCTCCCCCCTCCTTTATCGGCGCGCGCCTCTTCATCTTCCTCCTTCTCCAAAACCTGATTTACCGCTTGTTAACATCAAAGGGGACGTTGGGCTGTTGGTGCCCCAAACTATTTCTCCAAATCATTTTTATATTCCAGGTGTAAATCAGGGTGAACGCTGCGCTGCTGCTCGGTGCCTGGACTTTGCAATGAGCCCGTGGAGGAGCGAGGGCCCACTGTGTCCATTGTCCAAGTGGGTCATTTAGAGCAGCTCTGATCAATTACTTCAGCTCTCAGACTGCGCCGCTCCACAGGAACGCCACAAGTGTGCTCTCATTTTGCAACCTGTTTATACGACTGAAGAATTATTTATCAAAAATAAACACAGGAGTGAATCTAATTCATTTCAGTTTGCTTTGGGTTTCAGTTATTTTATCAAAACTATAATTCAAAGATGTTGCCTCCAGAGAAGAGGTCACAGCAGAGTAGCTAATATTGTATTCAACTTGTGACAAAAGTAGAAGTACAAAGTGGTCTAAAAATACTCGAGTACTAAAAAGTATTGAGGGAAACTATACTTTTAAAGGAAAGTGTGAGAGCAACACAATTGGACAAATGGTTTAATAAATGTAACTGGAAGGTCAAAATAAGAAAATGAATACACAAACCTGGTAGGGCAGCCCATAAAAATGAACAAAACTGAATCATATCTCAAGTGGGAACAGTGAGCAAGTAAACAAAGAGAGTCACCAAAACATTTACTCATGTACTGTTACACTATAAAATATAATAACTCAAGAATGAGTAAAGGTATGATATCTGACAAGTTCTGTGAGAAGTACAATTTTAAGTCAAATAAATATACTCATGTAAAGGGAATATGTATTCAGGATACAAATTTTGAGTAGCAGTATTCCGGTACAGTTACTTTACTCATTTGGTGGTATTAAGAATGCAGTTACTTTTCTAAATGCAAATGAATACATCATGGCATTTGTTCATGTCATTTAGGCTTCAAACTGCACATGATTAGTAATAAAAACATAAAGTACAGCTCTTGTGGTGAGTGCAGGTGTGATGTTTCCTTCTCTGATCAACAATAAATGAATGCATAACAAACAGTGAAACAAACTTAAAGCTGTTTTTAATCCTATGTGCAATTCAATGTAAAAATAGTCTAAGTATTCACAATACAGTACTGTGATTGGCCCATGTATCAGAATATGTTACAAAATACATTTTAATGCCGGTATTCAGTATTCTGTAACTAAATACATTTTCAAACTAAATACATTTCCCATCACAGAATATACTTGAGAAATTGTGAGTACTACCAACTACGGACTTATATTTATGAAAGTAACAGTGACAGCTTCTGTTTTCTTTTGTTGTATAATGCATATGATTATGATATTATATTGCCATCTCTGTACACTTTAAGGTAACAGAGTGCAAGCTGCCTGATTTACTTTCCCAACGTTAGACTGGAAGTTATTTTTGAAAACATATTAGCGATGTAATATAAGAGCCAACACAGACATTATCATTATTTCTCTGATTTGATGTTTGGCGAGACCACTTTTATCCTGCGCTCATAAACTTGGCTGACCAGTCACGCAGATGCAAAAAGGAGCCAACCACTAAAGAACAGATGTATTGGTGTTTTTAGCTGAGCTGGAGCTTTGAGGACACTGAGCAATGGATTTAATCTGTGTGTTTCTGAGAGAGACGGAGCGAGCGAGGAGCTGAACAAACACACAACACAACAATGGCAAAGGCAGAAAAATGAAGACGCCGCGCTGTAAAAAGAGAGGTAGAAGAGATGAGGAAAGTGGAGTTGGTACAAATTCAAAAAACTGGAGCCGCCATCATCAAAAACACAGCAGCCAACCACAACAAGAGTGCACACAGGTCTAGAACTTTCCACACGCCTCAGCACAAACACAAAGGACAATGTTTATGAAAAGACCAACTCTTTTAATGTTTAAACTTGCAGATGTGTTAGGATTTAGGCCTGTCATGATAACACATTTTGAAGCATGATGTATTGCTGAAGTAAATATAGACAATAAAAGATAATACTGCAGCTAATTTATGCCACTGTGAGAAATACAACCATTCACTGTCCTGTTTCGATGTTTCATTTTCAATAAAAACGTGACTTACTCTCTGAAAAACTGGCTAATGCTACCTTTCTTGTGACTGTTATGATATTTGAGAGGAACTTGTTTGACGGCACAAATCAGCTCAACTATTGTAGTAAGTAGGTCAGTTTTTTTCTGGTCAGATTGTGTTAAAACAAAGCTCAGATTAAAGTCTAACGTGAGTAACAGAGCTTCAGACAGAGCAGTGCCTACAGTTAGCATCACACCCCCAAAGAATGCAAAGTATCAATAGCATTTTGAGTGCCGTCAAATGTACTTTATACAAATAATATTTTAATAAAATAAAATAAATATATGATAAAAACATATATACAAAATCAGCTTGTGATTTAATTTTGCACCACAAGATGGAGTAGAGAACTGCAATATTTCATTCTTACTTTTAGAGCACATGTGGGGTCTTCTTTAATTTGTCTGAGCGTTAAAACATGTCACGACAAAAGAAAACAACAACTAAAGTTAGAATTCTCTTGGAGCAGTCTGTGTAATAACCATCAGTTTTTTCCTTTGCACAAAAACACACCAGGAATCCCCAAACTTCTCTTCCTCCTCATTCTCATTTAGCACCAGTCCCTGCGGCAGCCTCATTTATTTACATCTACATTCATCTCGCTTGCGGCTAAGTGATCTATCTGAATTTACAGCGCTATTCCCTGCCTTCTATGGCTTACCGATTTCCAAGATTAGTCTCTCAGATGTGTATTTTCACCATGCACCTTCATCCATCCATCTCTGGCTCTCGGATTTCATTTTGCTACCTTTTTCGCCTCTGTTTGTTACACACACACACACTCGCGGCTTCTCCCTCTTGCCTGTTTTGAGTCGTTCTCCTGCCGCGGGCCAATCCAATCCATCTGACTTTAGGAATCATATCATCCAATCAGAGCCCACTTGGCAGACAGGGGCGGGCCTT